TCGAGACTTGTTGCTTTTGTATGATCTCTGGTTAGTCAATTGATATATCATTAGTCGACTGATCGAGATTTGTTGTTTGTGCATGTTTGTGCAAGTCACCGCCCGGTCACCTATGGGATATCAGTCGACCAATCGAATATCAGTCGACTAATCCCCAAGCATAGTGGACTGATCTGGTGTTGTTCTGGATATGTTGATCTTCCACACGTGTTTGGTCACAAACACGACATACGATCCGCACGTCGATACACTTGCGTGACCATAAGAGTGCACGTATTGGGTTTGAGAACGTACGAGCCTTTTAGAGTACGTAGTCTAATGTTTTATGTTTGTCACGATAGGGAGTGATGATTGTTTTGATTTACAATGCTTTTGGATGCTTAAGAGCGTTAGTCCTTGCACCGCAAGAGAACGCAGGCGATTAAACTTTGAGTGAATTAGTCTATGTACTGCAGGAGATTACAGGTGACTACACTCCGTGATGCATCTTTGTTTTGGAGGTTGAGTGTGCTTGTTTGTACACTGCATGATATTGCTAACGAAAGCACTCCAAGTGCCTTAGTCCATGAGCCGCATGATACTGCAGACGACTACACTCTACATCTTTAGGATGCTTAAGACTCAGGCGAGTACAGTTTGTGGACGTAGTCTAACGTTGTGACATTCATATATGATGGTACACACTTTTGATGAGGATTTGAGAGGATAGTATATTTGTTTTCGTGCTAACTATCCGAGGGTAGTACGAGATATTATATTTTGGCATGCATGACATGTCCTGGATAAGGTGTTTATAGTGTATTTCGTTATTTCTTGTTTATAGGGTTTGGAGTTAAGATTTAACGACTTACAATTTGAGATATATGGTATATATATAAGGGTTTTCTTGTTTGGGTTATTCCCTCGACGTACTTACCTCATGTTGTGGATTCCTAAATCTTAACTCCTCTTAGTACTAGATATATATATGCATGCATGTTATGTGTGGTATTTTACAGGCTTTACCTCCCTTCTCCCTGGGGATGGAAGGAGATGTTTTTGCTAGCACTCTAATGCTCATTATTTCCACCTTTTTAAGGTAGCGGGTTAGAAATTCGGAGAATCGTAGGTTGATGGAGACTCAATATGGTTTACCGTTATGTATAGGTAGCTAGTTGGTGCTCCATAGTAGACTATTTATGGTTTTAGACATTTAGAAATATATTTTATTTTGGAGGCTAGCTGCCTTTGTACTATTCAGTTGACTATTATGTTTTAGAGACTGTAGGTGTAAATTTTAATCTCCCGAAAACAAGGAACTTCGTTTGTATTTATAAGAATAGCTTATTATAAACTAATGAATCGAAAATTACAACAGAACCGGAGGGAATGCCCTCCTTGTTTAACTTGGGACTTTCGGTAGCTATAGGACGCTTCGCTCGATTCTCGCACCGAGACTGCTTCCCTTGGACGATCTGACCGAGGTTGCTGGTGAGCTTCAGTGCGTAGTAGAAGCTCAAGTTGATAGAGTTCGAATCTTCGAGCTCACTGGCGATCAGGGCCTGGAACGGGGAAAAGATGTCACAATGCAAAGGTTATGCAAAGAGCTTGTCGTTGACTCCTTTGGGGATCGAGAGCTAGCGGTTCGATTGGCTGATTGAATTAATCAATTAGCTATGAGTGAACTATTGAACTCTGTATCGCTCAACTGCTGAAACCGCTGAACCCCTTCACTGTGGCCGGAAGAACTTCTTAAATAGAGGAGAGACGACCCGGTCGCTCCTTGAATCATGGGATATGACCATGTATCGTCAGAAGGTATCATGCCTTGGGTTGTACTGTGAGCGACCGCTTGATGGGTTTGGAGTATTGTACTCCTTCCCTTCACATCATGAGGAGTGGGATGGCCCCTCCTTGTACGTGAGATAGCGGTAGCCTGGTACTTGAGTGGGTTGAGCAAGCTCGTCGTTTGTCGGCGAATTCGGCTCTCGACTCTTGCAGGCGGGG